GACTAACACAGCTGCTACTCTGAAACCTAACATTAACTCAGTCGTGGTGTCACTGTTGTAGGTCCCTAGTCTTTAAAGATTTGCTCTTTATTTTTCTAGACCTAGATGTTATAAAGTTTTATTCTTTTTATACAGTATTTGAACATTTTGTTTTTCACAAATTTTATAATACTGTAGTGGAATTACATTGTCATACCAAGAATTACTAAATACTCCCCGCTTTAAAGGTGTCTGCTGGTTCCTAATTGAACCACTAGATGGGGCAAGTGACTGTGGAGTGGTGTACTCTTAAGAGGGAAGTTCCCTAGCAGTGCGCAGCTCTGAACCCTGAACATGCAGATAAATGATGAATTTGGATAAACGGAGGTTGTTAATATTTCAATATGTCTAATAAAAGCAATGTTCCAGTTTTATTTCTTTTGCTAGCTTTGCTAATAAATATGCCAGAAGTCCGTACAGGGATCTTTATGCAGCGAAGACTCTTTCATCTCGCTGTTGATTGTTTAATTCCCCTTGATTTATTTTCTCTAGTGAAACATTTTACCAGGTGTGAAAGTATTATTTGTCTTAAAGTAACATCCAAAATGTTGGGCAGGACAATGATTAGCACATGTTTTGTTAGTCCCATGCTCTGGTTTAGTGTTAAGGTTCTCCTGTAACTAGCCACAGGTATCCAGATTGGTTAATCCATTTAACAGATTATCAATTTACAAATGAGGATAAAATTTCACCTTCCCCACCCTCTCTTTTTTTTTTTTGTACTCAAATGCATCCACACCTGGAAATCTGAAAAGTTATGAATTCTGTCTTTAACCAACCACTATCCACAAATGATTGTCCAACGTGCTTTGCAATTTTAACACTACATAATTAAGTAATTTGTACACACAAGTTGTCAGCATTACTGTTTGTTCAGATAGAAAAGTGTAAAGTAGAACAATGAAGCAAGTATATGAGAGATTTCCTTATTTTTAGAAAAGGGAATGTATTTAAAATTGATATTTTAGCTTGTTTGTTTTTCATTTTGTGTGTATTTTGTTGGGATCTCTTCATATTAGAGATAATCGCTATAAATAAAAGTACTGCTCTGAACTGGTTTAAGCTAGGGCCCTTTTTCCCTTGTCACGCACAGACAGGAAAATACTGCAAGATGCGGGATTAACTTGTTCGCTTTTCATTGTTTTCTTTTCCAGCAGCAATCCGTTTAGCTATGGTATGCTGAGTTTATCTGATTAGCACGTAATGAGTAAAGGGGGTAGGAGACATGTTGCCTAGATTTGAGTAATTTATGCCAAATAACATTTTTAGTACCTTTCCCCTCTCTCTAAATGCCTGAACTTTCTTGACCTTCCTAGTTTCGTTCCTCCTCACCAGCTCTTTCCCATACGAAATCATGCTGTTTAAGTTGACTCCGTACCAGCGTGATTAGCCAGATTCTGCTCAGTGTACATCTTGCTCAACAATGTTTGACAATCTGTCTGAGAGTCACATGAATTCAACAACTGTTGTTATGCCCACTTTAATGCCCGACCAGGAAACATTGGCAGTATCAGAAATCAACAGTTCATAACATGATTACTTTTATCATTGATTTTTATAGTAAAAGCATTGGATTTATTTATAAGCAGTAAAATGATATTTTAGTACTTGTGTCAACAATTACAGTATATACATTTAACAAGGATTCACTAGTAGTTCGAACTGTTAAATTTTGTAAAGAAGCCAATAAAGCTGAGATTTAATAATGCTTAAAATAAATGAATACTAACATAGACTGTTCTTCTTTTACTGTCATTTACTTGCTAAGTTTTTTGCATAATTCTCACTTTAACTCGATACTTCAGCTTATTTTTTCTCTTTTAGATTACTCTTTATTTTGATTTAATAATGCATTGTGAAATCTTAAATGTCTTAGCCGAACTCTACAAGATTTAAGAAACCATATTTATGAGTTTATGCTGCTTTAATACTTCTATACAGTGGTGTAAAGTGGCCTTAGGGCAAATTAAAATCAGGCCTAGGGGGGTCTGTTTTCCTCTCTATATGCATGCATGATTCCATTATAATTGAAGTAATATGTGCACATCAGTAAGCATGCATAAGCTCCTGGAGTTTCAAGAAGATGAGAATATTGTTCAGATAATACAAACCTAGAGAGGGAGTCCATTTAAAATTATTTCTAAAACAGCATATTTTCCCCAATTGTAACTGTTTTTGAGGGGCCCTAAATTTCCTTTTGAAATGCTAATGTCTCCATACCTAGTAGTTTTATCATAATTTGAAAAGTCTTGTAATTATAGACAGTTTGGAATGAAGGCCTTGATCCTCCAAGCACTTAATGTACATGCTTAACTTTATGCCCGTGAGTCATCCCATAGAAATCGATGTATATAAAAGATAAACATTCCAGAATTGGGGCCTAAACAAATAGCTCAACTGGGACCTCATGGTTGCCCTGTTAAAATGCTGCTTGCCTCCAACAATTGATCATGGGCTCATATAGAAACAGGGAGGAGAAAAAAACCAAGATATAATAGGGTGTTTTTTTTTAAAAAAAAAAATAGGTGTGAATTTTCTCTGTGAAATTATTATTTTTAAATAATTAAGGTAACAGGTCCTAAGATGCACTGAGAGGGGAGGAATGTGATAGAAGTCAGTAGGTGACTAGGCTTGGAATCATGGAAAGAGCAGCATTGTGTGGTTTGCTGTAACAGAACACACATTTTAGGAAATTTAAAAAATAACTGGACAAAGAATATTAGAAACGCCAGAACAACTAACGAACATGGAGGAATGGGTAAAAGGGAGATGAGACATTCTGAAAAGTGACTAAGATATTTGAAAAACTTCTAAAAAGCTAGGCAGCAGCAAAGAGTGAAAACATTGCTTAACTCAGTTACAGCAGAAAAAGCCATAAATAAAATACATAAGATTTGAAGTGTCTGTTTATATTCTGATTGTTCACTCGTGAGTGTAAGCACATCAAAGAGCCCCGCCTTTAGCTGAGAATACTCTGGTTATAGCCAGTGCTACATCATTGAGTACAGTGTAATCTATTTATATACATTTCCATAACAGAATCTACCTCAAGAGAAAGTTAAGGTAGCATTCACAAGTCAAGAAATGGGAGTTAAGATTGTGCACACTCTTAACACTCTTCTCCCTTGTACATAAGAACGGCCATACTGGGTCAGACCAATGGTCCATCTAGCCCAGTATCGTGTCTTCTGACAGTGGCCCATGCCAGGTGCTTCAGAGGGAATGAACAGAACAGGCAATCATTGAGTGATCCATCTCTTGTCATCCACTCACAGTTTCTGGCACACAGAGGCTAGGGACACTCAGAGCATGGTGTTGCATCCCTGACTGTCCTGGCTAATAGCCTTTGCGGACCTTCCTTCATGAATATGCAGTCTGGTACAGTCTTTAATTACATGATCACATACAGTTTCTCAAATACAATGTCATAGAGTAGTCTCTGTGTAGCTGCATCTTCTACTTCTGTGTGCTTTCCTGCATATGACAGACAAACAGAATCTGCAAAAGTTATTTATACAGAAGATGTACGTACAAGATCTTCTGTGAGCTCTGCATGCCATGAACTATCAGTTTTATCCTTTGCTTTCGCTCATGTTTCTAACATCCCTATCAAACCTCTCCTGCACCATGTAACTGATGTGACAATCATTGCATTCTTGTAATAATTAATAAACGATTTCTGTGAACCTTGCTAGCCTGTGAATACATGAATGATGCAACCATGTGATTTGAGAGCCAATCTTGTACTCTTTCAGTCATAGCTGCCAATTGCTGCAGTTACATTCCTATCAAATGTGTGTGGTCCTGCTGGCCTTTTTCGCCTCTCAGGTATATTATCAGTAGCAGCTTGATGTGAAGATACGTGTTTGCAGATGGGGATGGTGTTAATATCTCATGGTCAGTTCGTGCAGTTAAAATAATTGCAACTCATGCTGGCTGCCCACCTTCCCCTAAGTCCATGCCCCTGAACGCACCTTGGTATTATCACAAGCTCAGTATTTCCATGCTATCTATTAGGTGAGTATTTGTCTTTGCTTGTGGACATCGTGGGTTTCCTTCCTGGGCGCTGTCCGGGGCCTGTCTTGTCACCCCCACTGGCATTCTTGACATATCACTGACACAACATAGTGTTCAGCTAATCTACTTGGTGCTGCTTAGTTGTGGTACTGTGTGTACTGATTGCTCCACCATTGAGGTGAAATGATTTGCTCCAGCAGATTCACTGCTGGCTTCAGGTTCTGAAAGACAGGATATGATAATGCTGTTTTCTATGTATAGCGAGCTGGGCTCCTTTTTCAAGCTCGACAACCTCATCTGTGGCAACTTTCACCCTTCTCTGTATGCCAGGATATATGTGTGCTGCTTATGTAATCCATATTAAGAGAGTGTGGATCTTTCTCCACCTCTCATGGCTGGTCCACATAAGGTTAATTAGTTTGGGTTCTAGCTGTCAGCTATAATAAAGGGTAAAAATGTTCAGAAGTGCCTAATTCCAATTGGGAGGGTGGGGGGGAAGTGATCTAGGCGCTCAGGAGAAAGTCAATGGATTTAGGCTCCTAAGTGCCTAGGTCACTTTTGTAATTGGCACTTTGGTGCCTGAGTCACTTGGTACTTTTAAAAATGTTATCCTTAGTCCTTTGACTTAAGTAGTGGAAAATGATACTTTCAGTTCTGAAGGAGGGTCCCTGGTTCAAACCCCATTGATGGACTATATCAGTTATACTTTCTCAGTGTCTGGCAACTTTTTTGCTGCCAGTTTATCATGTTTTTCTATTTTCCAAATATGCACAACTCACATTAAATTTTGGGCCAGCCATACATTGCTAGACTATTCCTGAAGATTTACTGAAGTAATTATGGAAATATTTTATAATTTGGTTTAAAGGGGTTTGACTAAAATGATCATAAATGTGTGAACTTTATTTTTGCTGCTTTGTTTCCCCCTTTCTTCCCCCCTCCAGGTTTGCAATTATGTGTGGCTATATGTCTGAGTTTGACAGTATACAAAACAAAATCAAGAATGGCTGTCTCTTTAAGGTATGTTTTTTGGTAGTTTCATTAGCAACTCTTCTTAATTTACTTTCCCCGATAGTATAAAAGAGAGGTTTTTCCAGCAAACTAACTTAGCCTCAGGGTATGTTGCAATGCCAGTGTTATGGTTAAGAAATTATTTGTATGTGCTCCTACCACATATTGTCCATTAGCTTTCAAACTACAAAGATTTAAATATGACTTCATATGTCAATGCCAAGATTTTTTTGCTTTATTCCTTGACCTAAGTAAAGTGGGGAAAAGTGATTCTGCTGTTGTAATTAAAGAAAAAGAAATAGAAAATTGAAACAAATTTAACACTAAATGCAGCAGTTTCCTACAGTGATTGGTGTTGCTTCATGTCACCCTGGGGAAGTGATAATTTTGTTTAATGTTTTCCATTTGCAGATACATGTATATTTCACATTCAGAAATTTGGGCCATGTCACTTAGCATTACAACATGGGGGAAGGTCTTGCCGGGGGCTTTGTCCATATCCTCCTTTTCTAGCTTTACATCTTTCCCAGGGATTCTCATACACACACATGGCTTCAATTATCATCTTTACATGGGTGACTCATAAATCTCCCTTTTTCTCCTGACTCATCTCTGCTCCCCCAAGCCTGTATTTCAACCTCTTTCCAGCATCTCCTCTACAGCAGCAGATTACACCCCCCCAGAGACCCTCAGCCTGCTTCTTGAAATCCTGGCCCCTAGGATACTGGCAAGAGAATGCCGTGGCTAGCATCCCTGCTTCTATTAGCTACGCCAACCAGTGCCCAGTGTCTTTGTGTTATTTTCTCTGTAGCTCCAGTTTTTCAGGTTTCGTCTGATGTTTAATTTTTATCTATTACATGGCACCATGGATGTGCATCACACTTTATAAAACAAAAAGAAGGAACTAAGTCTCTGCCACAGAAAGCTTAAAATTTTAGTTGTAACTTAAAGGTGTCTAAGGAGAAGTTTTGCCGTCTGCTATTGTATTGTACATGTTATTTATTGAGGCCCACACGCACCTATACGATCCATGTTGCATACCGCCTTGCTGCACAAGTAGTCCCAATGAATGAATGAGACCCAGAAATAGATTGTGTTCAACAAGAGCAAGGGTAGCAGAATTGTCTCTTATATATTTCAGTGGTATCAGGGCATTTTACATTACACAGTAAATAACAAAAAGAAAAGGGGGAAAAAAAAGCACAACTAATAAACACCTATGCCAAATAAGGCAGTTTATATCAATGAAAATGCTTCCATAATTAAGTAAAATTGTTAGCAATTGTCTAAATTGTAAGGTGTAATTTAAGTCGGGATGTAAAAAAGCATATTGTATACTATCAATATAGTATACATCTCATCTTAAAGAGCATTCCACCCTAACAGTACCAAGTGAGTGAAGCCTAGAATATCTGGACACACAGCAAAGGGCAAGAACTGAGAAAAATGGATCGATCATGAGCCAGATATAATGACAAGAGGTCATATATTTAAGAAGCAATTTTTGCAGTTATAAAAGGAGTGAGTTTAAGAAGCGTCTCAAATGTTAACTGTACAATTTTCAGTAAGATTCTCCTCTTCAGAGGTAACTTCTGAAATCACATGAATAGTATAGAAACATGGGAATTACAGGGAAAAATAGATTGAAAGAGTAGTATATATGTGAATAGTTTGCCAAAAAAAAATGAAATAGGGAGCTCTCAGATCTGCAAGAATACGATCATTTGAGTGGTTCAGATGAGAAGTTATAATACCACTATTTTAGTGATTGGCTTAGTTAAAAAAAAAAATAGAGATGTAGGAAAAGTGAAACCTAAAGTATCTGACAATTGAGTTCTGTTGAGAGGCAAATGATAAATCAGGGTTGGAAAAAACTCCTTATTCTTTATTCTTGAAATACTGATTATGCAGAAATAATTTGCCTCAAAAATGAGACCTGAAAATGGAGGGAGGAGGGGAAAGGTGGGTTTGGAAGAAAACATCTCATTTGATTTTTATTATCCTTTGTATTGTTTAATTCAGACCCATTTTATCTCCAGAACTGCGGGGTGCGGGCACAGGAGCTGTACTTCAAGTCACATTTCAATTGAAAAGTTAGGTCTGTGGTTCAATTCCTGTCCTATGTCCAATTAATTCTAGGTTTCTGACTACCTGCCGTGGATGTATTTTCACATTATCTACCTCTCAGAAAACCAGGTCCTGCTTCTAAATACAAAAGGTTATGTGGTGCCATGTTCCACACCAGAGAAGGTTACACTTCAGTGGTTGATCATTAGTTCAAGCATACGTTATCTAGGAAGCAAAATAGGAGTGTTCGCATGGGGTTGATGCATTATACTTTTCTAATACCCGATAGGGATAAAACCAAAGTTTAGTAGGTTTGGAGTACATCAGTCTCTTGTTTGTTTGTTTTAAAGCTCTTTCAGCTGTTTGTTTGAACTTCAGAATTGTTAGGTCATATTCTAAATGCAATGTTATGGTACGTTATGTGCAGAGTTGTTAAATAATTGTGTTTGTGGTTTTCTTCTGTAAGCAAGGGTATTGCCAGGTAAAATATTTACAGATCATTTGAACTGTAGCAAAAGCAGTCACAAAAGAGAATTTAAATAAATTTGCACTGATTTTGCAATGCAGTTTTAAAGTTTGAAGGCAACTCCCAACCAGAAATGAATATCCCATTTTCTTTCTTTTGAACTTATTTCTGACAGGAGCATCTAGATAAAGCAATTGAACTTAAGCCTCAAGATCCCTTTTTATATTACCTAAATGGAAGATGGTGCTATTCAGTAAGTTGTTTTCTATGCCTAACAGTTGACTTGAATGTGCTGAAAAATGATAATGTGTTTACAATGGAATAGTGTAACTGAAATCTGAGAGAAATGACACGTTTATTGAAGTGGAAACTTTGAAACTGTAAACAAAGCATTGCTATGTACTTGTCATGAAATCATTTCTACGTGCCTGGTTATTAATACAGACTGTCCTTGTTACCCATCGTTCTCCCATGTGTTAACTATACCACATACTGCTATTCAAAGCCCCTTGTTTTGCATTTTGTTTTATTATTTACACATATCAATGGTAACTAAGATTTGGAGAGGAAGCATGGGTGGTTAGGTGTTAGGTACAAGCTCCTTTCTGCAAGCCCCTCTATTGTTTTTTTTTTTTTTCCCCCCTTTAGTCTGGTGGTACTTCTATAGCACAACTTTCCTAGCCTGGCCCCTGTTTTAGGCTTACCTCCCTTTTCAAAGTCCTCACCCAGTCCTGCCCTTCTCTTTGGCCTACAATCCAGGAGTGTTCCCTTCTCCTGCTCCCAACTTTTCTTCCCAGCCTTCTCCTAGTCTGGCTAGGATCCCAGGGCTTCCTCCTCCCCACCTCTCTATTTTCAGAGACTGATTATAGATTCTCCCTGCAGCCCCCTTTCAGCTTTTAACTTCCTGACTTTTAGTAACCACACAGCTCCTTCCCAGCTGGCACTCATGTTTCATTAAATCTGGCTCTTCCTCCCGGTGCATCCAAGAACATAACTGGCCTTCCCAGCCCACATTAGCTCTTTCAGGCCCCAGGTGGGGCAGACATCCCATCTTAGTACTGTAGCTTTGTTAAATTTTCTTGAAAGTTATACAAACAAATACATGGCTTTTTTTATAATAAAGTTTTTCATTGCTCCAGTTAATGTAAAGGAGCTGTAATCCTGACCTAAGTATCTGGCTGAGATGGAGTTATGGCTGCTTTGTATCATAGGAGTGATGCAGAACAGCCAAAACATACCAGTGAAACTGTATCAAGGCCTCTAATAAAGGCCACTTAAATGTTAAAAGTCGACTCTCTTGAGTTTTCTTTTTGCAGATTACTCACAATTGCCAGACTCACCGTTGGTGTAACTCAAATGATTTCAGTGATGTTACACAAGGAATCAATTTGACCCAATTACTTATACCATATTCTTTGTAATTCTCTTCCTCTCATTCACTAGTAAGTGAAAAGCCTAAGGAGTTTGTGCTGGATAAATGGGTAGGTACATATGCAGACTATTATGGCATTTCTCAACTCTTACACGGCAAACATGAAAGTATTTGCATTGGAAGCTGATAGTTTACAACAAGGCTGTTGTCCAGTTACTTAATTTCTGCCAAAAGTCCTGAGACATTATACAATTACTTAATTCAATTCCATCTTAATATACTTAATATACTTAAAAACAAAAAGAACCTCTCACGATATTTAAGTAGGTGACAGTAATATTTTTGCTAAAATTGGATGGATTGGAAGGTTTTATTGAGAACAATTGTTTTGTGTGTTTTAGTTAGCTATTACCAAGGAAGCACTGAGGGAGGGAATTCTTTAGGGATGCACGTCTCTTCCAGGCTGAATTTTCAGATTGAATGGGTTTGTGTCCTTGGTAGCAGATTCCTGGTATTTGAAAAAGACTTTGAATGGACACAATTTGCATTTTGTTAATTAGCTGATAGCAATAAGTTCTGGTACTGCTGGATCCTGGGAGAAAGGGAGGCTGCTAGGAACTTCAATTCTCTACTGGAGATTTTAAGGCTACATGAGAAGTCTGCTCCCCATCCTCCAATAGCAGGATTTTGTATGAGATTTTTGGCAGCCACTGCCTCTGGCAGCAGCCTTTGGGTAGCTTTCTTTCCTCCCTGGCAGCAACAGAGAGACTCAGCTGCCAGTCCCCTTCCCCCTCCATGGTTTCTGGAGGTGTCATCTGATTGTTCCCATCTTTTGGCAGTAGGTGGGATATCTTGGTGACCTCTCCCCCTTCAACATTAGTAGGGTTAATCTGGGAGTTGATGACTCCTTGGGCTCTCTCCTCTAAGTACCTTTTTCAAGCAGGGCAAACAAAAAGAAGCACGGGAAAGGGAAAAGACCAAACACCCTTCATCCTCAGATGTTGGAGAACGGTCGTCTTCTTCAGACTCCCAGGAGTATGACAGACTCCAGTGGGGAAAGCAGGCTTTTTTAAGACAGGCACCCTCCAAAAGCTAATTGTTCATCCTTCAAAATTGATCCTGATGGTGGTATGGATTGTATTCCTCCAAGGGACATCAGGAAACAATAAAATTCTGGGATGATGCCTTGTTTTCAATATCTGATTTCCAGAAAGTATAATGGACTCTGAATGGAAAGACCCCACAAAAAGAGGGGCATCACCAGATTATGCCAGAAGGTGTATAAAGTTCAAAGAGGGAGAACATCAAAATTCTCCTGAGATCTCAAAGGGGATTCCCCCATTTGTAAGATGCTAATAAATCCACTGTCCCAGTAGAAGGGACAGGCACCCTCAAGGATCCCGGTGACAAGAACCTAATTTTTCTTCTGAAATGAGGCCATAACGCTTCCTCCCTTGCCCTTTGCAATGCCGTCAGGATAGCTTCAAGCTATTAAGTTAGAGCCATGGGCTAGCTTCAAAAATACTAACCTAAGGAAGGTTCAAAAGTCAATCAGAGACCAGGCTTGTTCTTCCTTTACTGTGTTCCTGTGATATCAGCCACATCTTGCTCTGCTCTCCACTCCCAGGAGGAACCTGTGGTTCTGAGCCCAGGAAGCAGATAGTGGGTGAAATCCTGGCCCAGCTGAAGTCAAGGGAATTTTGCCACGGACATTGAGAGGGTCCGCATTTCACCTAGTCTTTCTGAAACCCCTCTTGTACAGGCCTCCGCAGCTATCTCACACTCTTTGGGATAACCCTGAACATCGTAATTAAAGGGTTTTTTTAAACTGGAATAAATTTGAGTTCAACAGCTCCAATACAATTCTTTCTTGGCATCATTATAGCCCTGAAACACCTTTTAAAAAATAATACACATTCTGGGCCAACATTGTCCCTTCTATTTTTGCACCACTTCCATGACCCAAAGGGGATGGAGAGCAGCTCCAGTAGGATGGGTGGGGATTCTCTTTGCATAGGGGAAGCAGTTAGAGTATAAATGAATATGAGTATAAATGAGTCTGAATGCTTAAAGTTCTGTAGAAGCCAGTAGGATGCTTATGTATTATCCATAATAATAGTACCAAACCCTGTGCACCCTAAATATTATTAAAAACTGAAATATTGCCCATGCATACTTCTAAAATGAAGATAACTGTGTTGCTTTAAATTGGTGTTTCTTTTTAATATAAAAAATGCAGAGCAAAGCTATTTATTTTAGTCTGAGCAGTGCAAACGCACACCCAAGTCAGCCAAAATACAAAACCAGACCCCAGTAAAGTAATTCTGATTAAATCTAGTAAGAAAACAAGACAACTGCCAGACAGAACTTGTATTTAAATTTCAGGTTGCAGAATTAAAGCAGCTAATTATAAATTGCACCGTGGAAAAATTTGGAAGTCCCTTCACTATTGAATCATATTAGGGGAGTGTGTGTGTAGTGATTGTATCTATGTAGTGTGTCTGTGTGTATAACTCTAGAATTTTGGGTGGTCCAGAGAGGTTCAATATGAGCAGTTTCTCTCCCTTCCTTTTTCTCTCCTACCCTACTAATGGGTTCACTGCACCTGGATCAGATGGACCTAAAGATATCAGTAATAACTTCCTCCCATTCCAAGAGAGCAAAGATCATTGCAGCAATGGATTGGCCTGAAGAAAGCAATATATTCTTTTAAACTCTGCTGCAACTTCCCTGTCCCACGCAATGAGCTTTAGAAAATAAAGAGCAGGTGAAAAGTGCAGCATGAGGAGGAGGAATCATTTTATCTACACACTAGCTTACATTTGTATGTTTTAACTCACAGGCTGCACTTAGTAGCACAATATTGGCACTATGCATTGTGGGGGTGAAACAAGTTTTAATGAACAGGAAACAGTGAGCTTGTCAAAGAGTATGTCTCTCGAAACCAGGTCTTTGAAAGAGGCATTGGGAGGGAGAAAGATAATAAACATAGCTAAAGTTACTTCTTAATATTGTTTATCTTCAGAATATTATTTTTAGTGGTTTCAAGTGAAAGACTCACTGATGAAGTCATTCCTCAGGAACTGGCTTTTGCCAGAAGACCAGCAAGATTTGGCCAGGTTGCTTTGTCTCCATGCAGTGCTACTCAAACTTGGCCAAAATGATTGAGGTCAGACAAGAAAATAGTCTGTATACACTTTACTGTTGTATGCTGGCTAAATTAATACTTTGCAATGGCATATTTTACAGAACAGTTTATAATAAGAAATATTAAAAAATTCACATCCCATGAAAATTAAAAAATTGTAGTGGATGGCAGTGGCTAGGCATATGTTATGATAGTTAGTTCTGGATAGATTCTTTTTTTTAATGGAAAGCTATCAGCTTTCAAAATCTGGTGGATAATAGGTAACCGCAGCAGCAAAGAGCAGAGGAGCAACTAAGTAAGGGTTTGAGGGTTCTGAAGCTCTCCATCCCCTTCTCATTCACCACCAGTCATCAGTACTGTGGCAGAAGAGATATGAATTTTAAAGGCCCAAGTCTTTGGTTACAATGTGACGCTCTGTCTAAGCTGAGACTGGGTTGGCTCACCACATTTTCCAGCTCCTGGTTCTCACATGAATTCTTCACATCTCTTCGTTCTTTGGCTGCATCCCCTCCTCTCTGGCCCCTCTATTTAGGTCATGCCAGCAGTTGCCAAGGAATCATAGTGCCTAACTTCTTGGGCATATGCCTTGTGAGTCCTAGTCAATTTCAGTAAGCATCAGGTGTACGGTTAAAGTACAGATGTGCAGGAGAATCATCCTGCTTTTCCTCTCCAGAAGCACTAGTTTTCCTCCAAACATTAGTTGGGGGAAAACAGATAGTTCCTCCACTCAGTGAAGTGGCATTCCATTTGAGAAAACCAGGGGAAAACTTGGGGGGGGTCACAAGGTTATTACATGGTGAGTCGTGAGCTGTCAGCCTCCACCCCAAACCCCGCTTTGCCTCCACCGTTTATAATGGTGTTAAATATATTTAAAAGTGTTTAATAGATAAGGGGGGGTTGCACTCAGAGACTTGCTATGTGAAAGGGGTCACCAGTACAAAAGTTCAAGAACCACTGCTGTATTGTCATCTCTTTGCTGTTCCTGCTTTGATTAAGGATTTGGAGTCTCTGGTTCATTGGGTTAGGTGGTGGAACTAAAAATATTATGGCAGTAACCCACTCACTCTCAAGAATCCTTTCATGTGACTGCTGGAGTATGCCTAGATATATATGGGAAGGAAATGGCATACAGTATATACTGTAGTGTGACAATGGCAACACAGAATGAAGAAAACTCCAGAAGGTCCCTTTACACCAGCCTGTAATCCTGGGAAGTTAGAGGCTCCTTGGCATGTGCTATTGGTGAGAATTCAAGCGGACAGCTGGGCACCTACTTAGTGATATCTGTGTCACACCACTGCACAAAAAATGAACTTGTCTTAGAAGAGCATTAGCTACCCACATAATGACCATATCAACAACTGCCTCTAATGGTCAGAAACGTTCAGTAGATGGGCTATCAAGCTATACCATCTATTTCTCTATACCCTCTAACTCAGACATTATAAAACTGATGTGGGTAGTGATAATCGCATGTCGGTTTAACCAGTATTTTGCACTGAATTTCTCATGATGTGTGTAGTGTATTTTTATAGTAAAAAGGGATTTATTAAAAAACCCTTTAAATTATGTCAAATATTCAGTGTGTGTGTACTCTTTGGGGTAGTGAAGCAAAAATATTTTATTAAAGACTCCTTTGGGTGTTCCTTTGCACACCAAATTGTATAACTATACAGTAATACAAGGCAATATTTTGCTCCACAACTGAAAAATAAGCCTTAAGTGTATTTTCCTTCTCTGATTTTATTATAGGTAGCACAGTTGTCTTGGATTGAGAAGAAAGTAGCTGCTACTCTTTTTGGGACTCCACCAACTTCAACAGTACAGGAAGCTTTGCAGAATTTCCTTAAGGTAGATCCTATCCAACAGTTTTTCTGAGTAGCTATTTACCAAATACTCTGTGTGACTGTTTTCAAGAGATCAGCGTAGCAGCTATAAATTCAAGGTTCTATCACATTTCTGCAATACTTTTTTTTTTTAAAGTTAGTATGGGGTAGAGTGAGTAGCACCACTTATTTATTCTCTTTTTAAAAATTTCAGTAACCTCCCAGGTTAATTGCTATCAGATTTCATGTCAAAGCTACAGATGCCTTCGAGACAAAAGTAATCGTAGTGAATAACTTTTATGTTAAGCCCATTTTTTAAGGGACTTGCATAAGTGAGGATGATTTTTATGCAATTTCAATGGAAAACTCTGACACTGTGGCAGTTTCCTCTTTCTAATCTAAACTTTGCATTCTGTAGCTTTCAAGCTTTCTTCCTTGTGTGGGAGATGAGTAAATACTGAGTGCACGTAATATGAAGCAAAATGGATGGTTCCATCACATAGAAGCATGTTCCTGTGCATTTGTCTTTGAATTCACAATGTTAAGAAAACTGTGTGTGCATGCGTTAAAGCTGCCATTGGGCAACTTTTATCAGTTACTGCTATTTCTGCAGTTGATAAGTATAAACCAGTTAACAAATTCAAAAGGGTAAATTTTCATAAATGTGATTCCTTAGAATCATAGATTAGGTTGGAAGAGACCTCAGGAGGTCATCTAGTCCAACCCCCTCCTCAAAGCAGGACCAACCCCAATTCAATCATCTCAGCCAGGGCTTTGTCAAGCCAGGACTTAAAAACCTCTAAGGATGGAGATTCCACCACCTCCCTAGGTAACCCTTCCCGTGCTTTGCCACCCTCCTACTGAAATAATGTTTCCTAATATCCAACCGAGACATTCCTCACTGCAACTTGAGACCGTTGCTCCTTGTTCTGTCATCTGCCACCACTGAGAACAGCGTAGCTCCATCCTCTTTGGAACCCCCTTTCAGGTAGTCACACGAGCAAACCAATTTTTTTTGATTTAAAGGGCTCTTTAATCCGATTTCTGTACTCCACCTCAGCACGTGGAGTAGCGCTAAAATCGAGATCGCAGTTCCGGGTTACAGGTACTGTGGACGCAATTCGACATTATTGGCCTCCGGGAGCTATCCCAGAATGCTCCCTTGTGACCGCTCTGGACAACACTCTCAACTCCGATGCACTAGCCAGGTAGGCAGTAAAAGCCCCAGGAACTTTTGAATTTCCTGTTTGGTCACCACCAGCACAGGTGACCGTTCAGAGTCCACTAGCACAGGCGACCACGCAGTCCCAGATTCGCAAACAAGCTCCAGCATGGTCCGAACGGGAGGTACTAGATCTCATCGCATGTTGGGGAGACAAATCTGTTATGGCAGAACTATGTTCCAAAAAAAGGAATGCAAATACGTACACTAAAGTCTCCAGGGCCGTGACGGAAAGAGGCTACTCCAGGGACACAGAGCAGTGTCGTACAAAAATCAAGGAGCTCAGGCAAGAGTACCAAAAAGCCAGGGAGGTGAACAGGCACTCTGGGTTACAGCCCTATACATGCTGCTTCTACCGTGAGCTGCATACAATTATGGGGGGTGACGCCACCACTACTCCACCACTGTTCGTGGACACCTGCAAGGGGTGAGTAGCACGGAGCGAGGAGGAGGAGTTTTTGGAGGAGGAGGAGGACAGTGCACAGGTGGCAAGTGGGAAATCCGTTTTCCCCCCTCCAGGAACTATTCTTAATGCTGGAGACAATAGCCTCCCCTCACTCCCAAGGCATGCTCCTGGACCATGACCCTGGAGAAGACACTTCTGGTGAGTGAGAGCTTGATTGGAGCCATGGGGTGGGGGGAAAACCAGCTGCGCTGGGGTGTTCGTGTTTAGTTTAAAGGGCTTGTTCATCCCTGCTCAGAGCCTCATCGGAGCCACATGGCGGGGGGGGGGAGGGAGAGTAGGGTGTTGTGTGAAGCGATCATCCCAGAGAGCCTGGCAGTTTGAAAGCATTGAAATGAATGTGGAAGAAGCAGAACCCCGTGTGCCCCTAAGGCTTACCATGGCTGCCTGCAAGCTGAATTCTGTTGCCCGATCGCATGTGATGGCTTACTCACACCAAAGTGGCAGTCACTTCAGTATAAGAGTGTGCAGAAAGAACATGTGTTGTGTACTATGAATTGCCTGTTTCACTGAGAAAGAGTGTCCTCTTTGTTCTCTAAAATGTATCTTTTAAAATACTATCGTCCCTTTTTCTCCTCTTGCAGGTGCAAGTGTTTCAACGTGGCCCCTATCTACTCCGTCCCAGAGGCTGGTCCAGATTAGAAGGCGGAAAAAACGAACTCGGGACAACATGTTTGCCGAGCTCATGCAGTGCCCCCCCACACTGATAGGGCCCAGCTGAAAGCGTGGAGGCAAACAATTAATATGAAGAGAGGAGGGACGCACGCGATGAGAGCAGGCAGGATGCTATGGTCAAGCTCATGGGGGAGCAAACTGACATGCTCTGCTGTATGGTGGATCTAATGCAGGAAAGGCAGCAAGGCCACAGACTGCCGCTGCAGCCCCTGTATAACTGCCCTCCCTCCTCCCCAAGTTCCATAGCCTCCTCACCCAGACGCCCAAGAACATGGGGTGGAGGGAAGGCTACGGGGACCCACACAGTCAACCCCAGGGGATTGCACAAGCAGCAGAAAGCTGGCATATCTGAAATTTTGATTTGGTTTCTGGACTTGTCCTTCCCTCCTCTTCCACCCCCCTAACCTAATACTCCCTCCCACTCCCCAGTCTAGCTCGGGGGCAGGTAACTTTGAGAAACAAACACAACAGTCATACCGTAGCCTGGCCAGTCATGAAACTGGTTTTCAAAGCTTCTCTGATGTGCAGCATGCCCTGCTGCGCTCTTCTAATAGCCCTGTTGACTGGCTGTGCAAAACTGGCCACCAGGCAAGTTGCCTCAACCTCCCACCCCGCCAGAAACGTCTCCCCCTTAACTCTTACAGATATTGTGGAGCACACAACAAGCAGCAATTACAATGGGAATAATGGTTGTGCTGAGATCTAAACCGAGTCAGTAAACTGCGCCAGCGAGCTTTCAAACGTCCAAACGCACATTCTGCACTTGCTCAGCCTATAGTTGAACTGCTCCTTACTACTGTCCAGGCTGCCTGTGTATGGCTTCATGAGCCATGGCATTAAGGGGTAGGCTGGGTCCCCGAGGATAACTATAGGCATTTCAACATCCCCAATGGTTATTTTCTGGTCTGGGAAGTAAGTCCCTTCCTGCAGCTGTTCAAACAGACCAGAGTTCCTGAAGATGTGAGCGTCATGCACCTTTCCTGGCCATCCCACGCTGATGTTGGTGAAACGTCCCTTGTGATCCATCAGTGCTTGCAGCACCATTGAGAAGTACCCCTTGCAGTTTACGTACTGGCTGCCAAGTTGGTCCGGTCCCAAGATAGGGATATGCGTTCCATCTATCGCCTCACCACAGTTAGGGGACCCCATTGCAGCAAAGCCATCCACTATGACCTGCACATTTCCCAGAGTCACTACCCTTGATAGCAGCTGGTCCATGATTGTGTTAACTACTTGGATCACAGCAGCCCCCACAGTAGATTTCCCCACTCCAAACTGATTCCCAACTGACGGGTAGCTGTCGGTTGTTGCAAGCTTCCGCAGGGCTATGGCCACTCGCTCCTCAGCTGTGAGGGCTGCTCTCATTTTGGTGTCTTTGTGCTTCAGGGCAGGGGACAGCAAGTCACAAAGTTCCATGAAAGTGGCCCTACGCATACGAAAATTTCACAGCCACTGGGAATCATCCCATACCAGTCTGTGCTTGTTTCCCGGGCCCAGAATCGGCGTTCCATGGCATGAACCTGGCCCAACACCACCATGATCTCCCAATTGCCACATGCCATGCTTCTAGGAACATCTGTGTCCATGTCCTCATCAGTATAGTAATCGCGCTGTCATTACTTCCTCGCCCGATTTTGCAGGCACTGCACATATTGCTGGATAATGCGCGAGGTATTTACAATGGTCAAAACTGCAGCAGAGATCTGAGCGGGCTCCATGGCTATGGCACCTGCATGGGTAATCTTGGAAAAAGGGTGCGAAATGTAGGAGAGCAGAGTGGCAGCGGAACAGGTGCTGTTCGGTTCACGATAGCCATTAAAAGGTGGGAAAAGGTTGTCTTCTGTAGCTTTCACGGACGCGGGAGCCCAGGACAGACAACATGGAGAAGCTTGGTAGCGCGGCAAGAGCGGGAGAGCAGAGTTGGCGGCGGAAGCTGTGCTGCTCGGTTCACGATGGCCGAGCAGAGTTGGCAGCGGAAGTGTTCGATGAGGAAGAGAACGAGTAGATACTAGAGATTACGAGAGGAAATGTGAGGTGGATTCATAGTAGCAGGAGAGCAGCGGTGCACCGTCTGCTGAAAGCAGTATGGCATCTGCACGCCAAAAAGGTGCAAAACGATTGTCTGCCATAGCTTTCACGAAGGGAGGAGCGACTGATGACACACACCCAGAAACACCTGAGAGAATGTTTTTGCCCCTTCATGCACTGGGAGCTTAACCCAGAATTCCAATGGGTGGCGGGGACGGCGGGAACTGTGGGATAGCTACCCACAGTGCACCACTCCGACATTCGATGCTAGCCTCAATACTGTGGACGCACTCCGCCCAATTCACGGGCTTTAGTGGGGACACAGAAGACTGAATGTATAAAATCGCTTCCGAAAATTCGAATAGAATAAATTCGAAATAATTTTGTACTGTAGACGTACCCCAGGCTGTAGAAGTGCATGAATTCTTCCGTCCTAAGTGCAGGACTCTGCACTTGTCTTGTTGAACCTCATCAGATTTCTTTTGGCCCAATCCTCCAATTTGTCTAGGTCACTCTGATCCCTATCCCTACCCTCCAGGAGGTTCTACCTCTCCCCCAGCTTAGTGTCATCCATGAACTTCCTGAAGGTGCAATCCATCTCATCAGATCATTAATGAAGATGTGGAACAAAATTGACCCCAGGGCAGTCTGCTTGATACCGGCTGCCAGCTAGACATCAAGCCATTGATCACTACCCATTGAGCCTGACGATCTAGCCAGCTTTCTATCCACCTTATAGTCCATTCATCCAAACCGTACTTCTTTAACTTGCTGGCAAGAATACTGTGGGACACCGTATCAAAAGCTTTGCTAAAGTCAAGGAATCAACTTTCCCCATATCCACAGAGCCAGTTATCTCATCATAGAAGGCAATCAGGTTGGTCAGGCATGACTTGCCCTTTGGTGAATCCATGTTGACTGTAGCTGATCACTTTCCTCTCCTCCAAGTGCTTCAAAATGGATTCCTTGAGGACCTGCACTATCATATTTCCAGGAACTGATGTGAGGCTGACCGGTCTGTAGTTCCCTGGATTCTCCTTCTTCCCTTTTTTAAAGATGGGCACTATATTTGCCCTTTTCCAATCGTCTGGGACCTCCCCTGATCGCCAGGAGTTTTTAAAGATAATGGCCAATAGCTATGCAATCACATCAGCCAACTCCCTCTGCACCCTTGGATGCATTGCATCAGGCCCCATGGACCTGTCCAGCTTTTCTAAATAGTCCTGAACCTGTTCTTTCACCACTGAGGGCTGCTCACCTCCTCCCCATACTGTGTTGCCCAGTGCATCAGTCTGGGAGCTGACCTTGTCTGTGAAGACAGAGGCAAAAAAAGCATGGAGTACTTCAGCTTTTTCCACATCATCTGTCACTAGGTTGCTCCCCCATTCAGTAAGGGTCCCACACTTTCCCTGACCACCTTCTTGTTGCTAGCATACCTGTAGAAACTCTTCTTGTTACCCTTCACATCCCTTGCTAGCTGCAACTCCAATTGTGCTTTGGCCTTCTTGGTTACACCCCTGCATGTTCAAGCAATATTTTTATACTCCTCCTAGCCATCTGTCCAAGTTTCCACTTCTTGTAAGCTTCCTTTGTGTGTTTAAGCTCACCAAAGAGTTCTCTGTTAAGCCAAGCTGGTCACCTGCCATATTTGCTATTCTTTCTGCACATTGGGGTGGTTTGTTCCTTTGCCCTCAATAAGGCTTCTTTAAAATACAGCCAGCTCTCCTGGGTTCCTTTCCCCCTCATGTTAGCCGTCCAGGGGATCCTGCCCATTAGTTCCCTGAGGGAGTCAGTCTGCTTTTCTGAAGTCCAGGGTCCATTTTCTGCTGCTCTCCTTTCTTCCTTTTGTCAGGATCCTGAACTCGACTATCTCATGGTCACTGCTGCCCAGGTTGCCACCTTCTTCTACTTCCCCTACTAATTCTTCCCTGTTTATGAGCAGCAGGTCAAGAGGAGCATGGTCCCTAGTTGGTTCCTCCAGTACTTGCACCAGGAAGGTGTCCCCAACACTCTCCAAAAACTTCCTGGATTGTCTGCACTGCTGTATTGCTCTCCCAGCAGATGTCCAGATGATTGAAATCCCCCATGAGAACCAGGGCCTGTGATCTGGAAACTTCTGTTAGGTAGTTGTCCAAAGAAAGCCTCATCTACCTCATCCTCTTGCTCTGGTGGTCTATAGCAGATGCCCACCACAACATCACCCTTGTTGCACTCACCTCTAAACTTAACCCAAAGAGACTCAACGGGCTTTTCTCCAGTTTCATACTGGAGCTCTGAGCAATCAGACTGCTCTCTTACATACAGTGCAACTCCTCCACCTTTTCTCCCCCGCCTGTCCTTCCTGAACAGTTTATACCCATCCATGACAGTGCTCCAGTCATGTGAGTTACCCCACCAAGTCTCTGTTGTTCCAATCCCATCCTAGTTCCTTGACTGTGCCAGGACTTCCAATTCTTCATGCTGGTTTCCCAGGCTTTTTGTGTTTGTGTACAGGCACCTAAGGTAACTAGCTGATTGCCCTACTTTCTCAGTATGAATCAGGAGACCTCCCCTGTTGCATCCTCCTCCTTGTGTTTCCTCCCTGTATCCCACTTACCTCAGGACTTGGGTCTCCATCCCCTTCTTGAGCTATTTTTCAGATTTATTGGACAAACACATTTTTCCTCAATATCAAGCTTGCTTTTTTCATGTCCCTACTTTGTTTAAAAATAAACACAAATTCCTGTATTGTTGGACAATACGTATCTACATCTACACTACCACCCTGCCTATATAACCAATGTTTATTCTATTTAAGGGTCACTTTCCACTAAGTCAGTGGAAAAACTCCCATTGACATCAGTGGACTTTGGCTCAGGCTCCAGTGCTGTAAAGTAACTGTAGTTTTAAGTGATCTTCTGCACCTGTCTAATGCCTGATGATAAATGTTTGTGCATTTTTTTTCCACAGTACCACCAATAACAGCGAATGTTTTGGCCTAAGAAATAGCAGCAATAGTAAATTCCGCTGAGATACTTCATAACTACTGTCCTTATGGTTACCAATTATTTTGTAAAGTGTTCAATCATCATTAAGATTTGCACATCTCTTGTATATTCAAAAAGGGGTAATATCTGTGGCTCGTGCCGAGATAAGATTTTTTGAATACATGTATCCAACTCTGCAGGGCATCAGAGGAGTCTATCCAGAGCTCTTACAACAAAGTTAGCATTAGGGGAGTCAGATGCTCCCAAATATATTTTAAAGACATCTTGAACCTTCCCGGAGAGAGGGTGAAGAAGAGTGTGGAGACACAGATAAAAGAGGGAAGGAGAAGAGGGGAAGGGTGAAAAAAATCGATAAAGCAACTGTGCATAGTTCTTGCTCACTTGCCTAGAGTGAGCAATGGTTTCTTGGTTATTTGACAGCAGAGTAAAATACCACTTTTTAAAAAAAATTATCTTCCACCTGGTATGAATGGGTGAACGCTGTTGATTTTGTATCTGGGGTGATGCATTTTCTTGATCCTTTTACAAGCGTTTAAGAGACAGAAGCCCCAGGACTTGAGCAAAGTCTCAAAAAACTACTTTTCCAGCTTTTGCGTGTTAACCATAAGAATGTTACATGTATATATTTTTTAAACAGTGCTAAAGGAATTATGGAGCATTGGTATGAGATGATTCAGACAGAAGGGACCCAGTCTAAATCTTTGAGGAAGCTTTATGCTTTATTGGAAATTGAATCTTGATCACATTAGTCTCATCATGCTATATTTGTATTTCTGTTGTTTCCTGTATTTTATTATCCAGGCTGAAGAAATGCATCCTGGATATTCCAAATACAATTATGTGTTTTTGGCAAAGGTAACTAAAACAGTTTACTTTAAAAAATATATATATATAATTCATAGAGTCTGGTATTATAGAGGGCCTGGTTAGTTTTTACACAGTTTTTTTTCTTTCAGTGCTACAAAGATCTTGGCCATAGAAGCAATGCACTGAAATACTGTGATTTTGCATCATCAGTGTTACCAGTTACCAATGAGGTAAGTACCGAAAGTGACAACAAGTTTCTGTTGTAATTGTTGTCCTCTCTTTGGCACTCATCACTGTTGTGTCCAAATGCACTATGGTAATAAAGCTACACCGCTTTACCTCTTGAAGGTGAAACCCTCCTCCTTTCTTTTTAAGCCAGTTTATTACAATAGTTGATTGCATCTGTGTGAAATATCTTACAAAATGGTTGTTTGGGAAGCTTCCTAAAGCTTGCTCTAAAGAGTCTGGTTTACGCCAAAGAGTTGACCCATTTGTAATTCATCTATTTGTATTAAACTAACTTAAGCTCAAACTGTTCCGTGTGTCCACACTAGCCATTCTTGTTACCCAAACAGTCCAGGGCACCCCAACTTTACCCTTCTGTGGGCTCAAGGCGTAACCCAGTTAATTTAGGCACCCTCACCCTTTCCCAATTCCTAGGCACCTATCCTTACCCAGTTCCTAGAGCTCAGGGCCACCCATAGAGCTCAGGGCATAACCTGGTTAATTTAAGTACCCACCCTAAGGCTTAGAGTGGGTTTGCAGGGCCTGATACCGGTGAAGGAGCCTTACAGAATAATATCCTTAACCTCTATTTATTAACAGTTACCAAAACAGAATACACACGCTAAGCATACAATGCTCATCACTCCCAATAAGGCAGATGAACTTTTCTTAGTGGCCAGTCAGGGATCAGGTCATCCGGGGCTCCTCCACCTTCTGCACAATATAGCTGACAGGCTGTTGAAGTCTGGCAGCTCTGATCTTGGACTATGTCCTGGAGTTAATTTCCAAAGAACTTCCTTTTGGACCCCCGTTTATATAGTTAAACTTGAGTCCTGCTTAGCTGTACCATAATCAAAGTGCTACAAAACAGTATTTTCCACCAATCCTAGCCCATTACAAAACAGTTCTTTAACCAATCAGACCCCACCACCTTAATGGATATAAATAAATCTTGCAAAATTAGTTATGTAACAGACAGAAACCATACAGCTAAACAATAGAGAAGTGGGGACCATAAAGGCAAAACAATAAAGAAGTATAGATTTCACAGTCACATCTGTTGATGAGTGATTCCTTGCCAGACAGAATGCTATCAAACAAAGTTTTCTTTAACCATCTTAAGATCTGTTTCTTTATCTGGTGATGGTCAGCACTTACGACAGGAGCGCCTTCTTAACAGCCCAATGTTACATTGTTTTGATGCGATTTACATGGAATGTGGGGATGTGACTTTCTGCTTCTTAGCTCATGGCTGCTGCTGTCCTAATGTGGCTGCAGAAAAAGGCCTCAGACCTTAAATGCTGCAAAGTTTTGCCCCACGTCCACATTTGCACTGCCCTAAATAATGTCGGTCTCAGTGACTCTGGATTGTGGATTTCTGGTTCTGCTTCTAAAAGCAGTGTACTCTGGAACCCGGTGATTCTGCAAGACCACCAGTGCATTGTGGGTCAGTAGCAGAAGGAGGATAAAGTTTCAACTTGTCTTCAGCCACAGTACTATTAAACTAGTACAGTCTGAACCTGTTACACCTGCTGAAGAAAGTCTGTTCTAACTGACTATTAGATCCTTTGTTGACCATTTGGAGTGCTTTGGTATGTGGACACAACGTGTTCTATAACTACCCTAGAGACTTCAACTGGTTTAATTTCTCCAGTGTAGACCAGGTTGTGGCAATAAAATCCATACATATTCTCTGATCTCCTGTAGAAGCAAGTTCCACAGTTACAGACCTTCCACTGAAAATGCCTTAATGTCCTAGAGCGTCACAAGTTCAAACCTGAGCTTTGTCAGCCTAAGACCCCACTGTGAGCATAGCAGATGTGGTGGGACAGGAGAGAGATATAGAGGTGGTTCCTGAGAGGAAATGGCCGTATCCCATTCAGTTCTTGAAGTTAAGGAAATAAGACCTTTAAGTGGCCCCATAGTTTGATTGATAACTGTGTCAAATGTTCCTGCTCAGAAGACAGACCACTGCCTGCTGCACCAAGAGCAGCTTCTGGGTGGGCCTTAGTATCAGCCAAAGTTAGGGTATATTATAATATATTAAATATAATAAATCAACCATGACATTTTCTGGTAATATATATTGGTACAAATATTAATATTAATCTCCTTAGCAGTGTTTCATTCTTTACTTAATGCTAAGATATGCCTTGAGTTTATCTTTTTTTTTATACTAAAGTTAAGAGGATCTGTCATCAGTTAGCAGAACACAGTAGTACACAGTAGATCTGTCATCAGTTAGCATTACACAGTAGATTGTAGAAAAATCAAGACCACAGGCTTTGGGGAACAGTTTGTAACTGAACTGGTTTAAGCAGAGACAGTTTAGCATGTCTACATTAGTCATAGAATCATAAGACTGGAAGGGACCTTGAGAGGTCATCTAGTCCAGTCCCCTGAACTCATGGCAGGACTAAGTATGCTGAATGGTTTTGCCCCCATGTTCCCCCTTGTGCTATCCACATGATGTTGCAATGAGCTCTGGGTGAAAAAGTAGAGGAAATCATTTCAGATATTACACAGTAAAAATGCATCAAAATAGAACAGACAGATCCCAGAAGGTTATGGTGGGCACACGATCCCTCAAATACAGCAAGCCAAAAGGATCAATTCTCTTCAAGATATATGTGAAAACTGGTTAAAGAAAGCTTGAGGCAAACAGCACTATGTTAAAATGCACTAGAGAACATTTGGACACCAGCAACGTCTACATGGACCAGCTAATGCTCAGCACGTTATTGTGCTTTAGAAATCACACCCTGTAGAGCGCAGCACCCCACTGTGTAGACAAGCCTAAGAGTGGGGACCAATTGAGCCCCTCTTAGCAACAAAATACTTGTTCAACTAAAACACTTAAATGATTCACCCTCTTCTGTTTTGCATGATTTTAAATATATCACAACATTCTGTCCCTGGATTGTTGTTTGCGTGACTTGGCTTTGTTTACATGTGAAATGTTTTGGATTAGATTTAGAAGAAAGTCCAGGAAAAAGAGACATTGGGGTCACAGTGAGTAATGCAGTAAAACCAATGTGTGTGATCAAACAACAAGCAAAGTCTGTGAAACAAGTAAATATAATGTAGAGATTTGAAAGATGAATTGTGCCAAATGTCAGCTCTAATTACATCTGAATTAGAATATTGTGGATTATTCTGTTTATTGAATAAGGGAAGGACTATTATTGAAATTGGAAAAAATGTGATGGAAAAGCTCCTGAAATGATTCAGGGTTTGGAGATTAAGGTGGGAAGAATATCTAGTCAGATTACTTTGGGGAGGGAAGACGTACTGAGAATGCAGAGGCTCATGGAAAGAAAATAGTAAATAGATACCAGTAAAGTTTCTAAAGTGGAAACAGATCTGAAAATAAGGAGGTCATAGATTGAAGATGGAGAGGAGGAGAAGCAATTTAGGCAGAATGTATTCAATGTGAAGGTTACTTCAGTATAATTGTGCAGTCTCAAAGTTCATCATATGACACATGGCTTAAGATGCTGTCACAGTCATGCTAGAAATCTGTCATTTCCGTCTGTAACCCTCTTCTCAAGTGGTTTAAAATGTCAATTCAGCAGGGGAATTCTTTGATTATACTTTTTTTAAAGATTGGTGGTTCTTGAGAAATATGTACATTTATATAAAAAGCAGAAGCATAATATAATAATACTGTGGACAACACTATCATCCTACCTGTCACTCAGGCCCGTAACCTGGGTATCATCTTTGCTTTGAACCTCTTTCTAAGTCCTCATTTCCAGGCTGTGTCTAAGTCTTGAAGATTCTTTCTGTGTAACATCTCTAAAATATGACCTTTCGATTGATTGATTGATCCATCCATCCATCCAGCTAAAACCTTTGTCCAGGCTCTCATCTCGTGTCTTGATTCCTGTGACATCCTTTTCTCTGCTCTAAGGTCTACAGAAAGCTTGACTGCAGTTAGACAGCTGGTGTGCTGAGACCACTGCCTGTTGTGCTGATAAATATTATTGTCTCATTGTTTCCCAATGCTTCCCCCCCGCCTGTTGATATCCACCTGTTTGTCTCTTGTCTTGTAATTAGATTGTGAGCTCTTTGGAGAAGGGACTGTCTCCTTGTTCTGTGTTTGTACAGCACCTAGCACAATGGAGGTCTTGGTCCATGACTGAGATTCTTAGGTTCTATAATAATACAAATAATAATAGACTAAGGGCTAGATCCACAAAGGGGACTTAGTCTCAGCATTGCAATGTCTAACATTTAAGTCTCCTGCCACCTAATGGAATTCATTCTCAAGTTAGGCAGCTAGGCTCCTATACAAAGCATGGGGAGAGTTAGAAGCCTAATGGGAGTCACAAAGGCCACTATGTGGACAAGGAGCTGCTTAAACTAGCCTGTAGGAAATACTGAGGAGGGAGATGTGTCCTAAGCCCCAGCCCTCAAAGGGACTTAGGCGCTTAATACTGGGCCAGAAGGAGGTGCCTCATGTACTCGGGATTCACAGCCATGAACCCGCTCCTGGAGTTAGGTGCCTAAGCCGCGTCATCCTCTTTCTCACAAAAAATGGAGGAGGTGGTAATAGTGGCCTTCTATTCAATATCCCAGTGGCTAGAGCGCTCACCCAGGGTACGGGAGACCCCGATTCAAATCCCCACTCTGTCTAATTTGTATCAGGGATTTGAACCCAGATCTCCACCCTCTCAGATGAGTTCCTAACTACTGCTTTCTGAGGTGGGAATCTATCCTGTGGAAACTGTTCCACTTTGTACGAAATAGTTAGATATTCACTGGACCAGGGACTGGAACCATCAGGTGAGTGCCCTAACCATTGGGCGAGAGAGCTGTTCTCTCTCTGTTTAAGTATTTCCTACAAATTGGAACAGCTTCAAAAGCAAGAAAGAGTGACCCACCCCAGAACACCTTAAAGCCCAGTGGTTAGGCGCACACCTGGGAAGGGAAAGAGATCTTGCTCCACATCAGGCAGAGTAGGAACTTGAACCCTGGTTTCCTAGATCTTGGGTGAATTCTC